GCTGGATGGGGGTGGAGGGAGGAGATTGTGCCCGATCTTTACCATGCAGGAGAAAGGCCACAAGCCCCCCTTCTCCCAGAAACCCCCCTCCAGACCTTTTACCTCCCCCTAAGGAGGAATTCCCCCTTGAAGAAATTGCTTGTTCCCCTCCCTATCTTCCCATTCCCTTTACCCAATCTCCCCGACCCCTCCCTTGGTATTTCAGCATCCCTGCCTCCTTGCCCTCTTCTCTTCCGATTCCCAACTGGAACCCTTTTCCATCTGTCTCTCTCTCTCTCCTCAAAACCTCAAAGCTGTAGCGATGAATGTGCATCCTGTGGTGCCTAATCTTTACTCTTTTCCCTTCCAGTCTTACTTAGTAAGTAAGGGGTTTTCCTTCTCTATGAGTGAGGGCATGTGGGAGCAGCCAGGTAAGCCCAGCCTTGCTGGCAGGTTTTGCCACTGGAATTCATCCTCCATCTTCAATCAAAGCCCTGCCTCAGGATTTCCAGAGGGGCCGGATCGTGGCCAGAAGACCATCGGATGCCCCCCACCACTCATCATGGGCTAGGCCGACTTCAAGGTGTCCAAGAAGGAAGACTCTGACCTGCAAGGACTTGGTGAAGTATCTGGGATTTGGTGTTCCCCAGGGGCGGAGGGCAGGGGACTTGAGAACACTGTTTGCCCGGCCCCAGGGGAGACAGCGCCTGGTCCAGAGACTCTTTTCTTTGTCTGGGTCTGCAGAGGGCAGGGGATGCCTTTGCTGCCACCAAAAGGCCCCTGTATTCGCCTCTGCCCTCCTCAAGAAGAGCTGGGCCCTTTTCTCTTGCGGCCCAGGACATCTGGAGGGTGGCTGTGGGGGTGGGTGCTGACCCAACCTCTGGGCAGCACCACAAGAACTGTGGTTGCCACTGTTGTGGGAGCAGAAGGCCAGCCGGTGACTGTCTATGGGCCCCAGAGCGTCCTGGTCGCCCCGGATGCCAGAGGGACCAATTGACTTTCTGCTGGCCGGCCCACTTGCCATCAGGCCCCCTCATCCGGCAGGGAGGCCTCCCACTGGCCCCACTAGCCACCACAATTAAGCCACCCTGATGTCCATCGCCCCCTCCTGAGGAAGTCTGCACCAGCCACCCAGACCCCAAGGACCAGCCCCTGCTTTTCAGATGTGGAGCCAGAGTTTCCATCCATGGCAGCAGCGCCCACCAGTGGGGAACAGGACCGTTTTCCCTGGCACCTCTTGGCCCCAAGAGGTTGGAGCTCAACACCCTCACCAGAGCCTTTTCTGGCTGAGGGAGGGACTGCCAACATCCATCAGACTCTGACTTTGCCTTCCCTTTGCGCTTCATGCCTTTGGGACCAGTTGGGGGGAGGGCTGCCAACAGACAGCTGGCAGCCCTGTGAAACACCTGGCGGTATTTCAAGGACTCTTGGGATTTGTCTGCAAGCCTGCTGCAGTTTCAGTCACTCGCTGCAGGTGGGGGTGCCAGCCTCCACAAGGGCACCCTTTGGGGCCTCAGTGCCATACTGGGACACCCCTCAGGACTCTTCCTCACCGGCCATCGCCTGGCCCAACCATCCAGCTGGGCCGGCGGGCGATGTCTCCTGAGTTGGACAAAGGAATCGGAGGAAGCTAGTGGCAGGATCGAGAAGATGGACCACACCATGAGGCAGCTGGCTAAGATCTGGGGCAGGCGGGCCTGTCCTGGTTGGATGCCCATTTCTTCTTGCTCTCGCTCATGGGGTGGGATGGCCCCTTCTGTAAGGCTAGAACTGAGTTCTCTTCTTGCGATGTGTTTCTCTTTTCTTCACAGGCCCCTCTGAATGCTGATCACCTGCATGAGGTGGGATCTGAAAGTATTAGACAAAGGCTGTCATTTCCTACTTCTATCCTTTCTTCTCTGAATAGGTATCTGCTATCCCGCCTTCCTATCCCTTTGGATTCTCCTGTACACAACTTCCCCATTGGTGCTTGGGTCCTCGTGTGGAGGCGTCAGCCAGAGGCCTGGTCGGAGGAGTCAAAGCCGGGATCGGAGCAAGCAGTGGGGCCACCGAGGGGGAGAAGGACGGTGAACCTCCCCAGGGCGCCCCCACTACGGATCCAGCCGGCCCACTCCCTTCCGGGGCCTCCAAGGGGAAGAAACACCATTTGCCGAGACAGAGATGGCCCCTTGAAGCTGCTCGCCAAATTTCGTGCTCCTAGCACCACGGGAAACCATTATTCCACCACTTCCGGGTCTTTGACAGCCCGTTTTGATGTCTGTCAGGCTCCTCTCAGCTGATTCTGACAGCTGCCTTCCTCACCCCAATCTGACCTTAGTTTCACTTTTCACTGCAAGTCGGCAGAGCGAGGGAACTGTCCGCACCAGCGCCACCTAGCGGTAAGACTATTTATTACATATAAAGCAGTACCTAAATTTCCTACTTGACAGATGCAACTGTCTTTTGGGCTGCATAGCTCGACAGCAAGCTAGACTATTAATGGTTGGGAGCTGACGCCGACCCGGGCTGGCTTCGAACTCATGACCTCTCAGTCAGTAGTGATTTAATGCAGTAGTGATTTAATGCAGCTGGCTACTAACTAGCTGTGCCACAGACCGGTCTTTGAATGGGAATAGATGGCAGTATGGACTGAAGTAATCCAGTTCAAGGTAGATATTGTCGAATTTTCTGCCTAGATATTCTGGGTTATATGGCTGTGTGGAAGAGCCCTAAGAGTACCACTCTATACAAACATTGCCCTACTGTTGTTGATCTGTAAAAAAAAAACTTTCCATAAAAGAGATAGGGAAGCCTTGAGAAAACATGGGAGGGTTGCAAATGCATGATAAAGTCATGTGAGAACTCCTCTCTCCATAAAATGTGACTAAATAAGACCAGACAGTTCTACATTAAATGCCTAGAATGATGCAAAGCTGCAGTGTGGAGTATATTGAAGCAAACATGAAATGACAGAGCTATTCATGAAAGTGGTCAAAGGTTCACGGCTTCAAGTAGCAGTTCCCCACATCTACCACTGACTGTGCCATGAAAAAAAAACTGTTACTCATGCTCACCTAGGAATAAACCCAACAGAAACTAAGGGCCCTTAGTTCCAAGATCATTTGCAATGATTAAGAGGGATCTGATGAGATCTAATGAGCTGACTGCACTTCTAATGTGAATTTCAATTTTATTAATTAAAGAAATAAAGAAATGGAGCTCCCAGTGGCGCAGTGGGTTAAACCCCTGTGCTGGCAGTACTGAAGACCGACAGGTTGCAGGTTCGAATCCGGGGAGAGGCGGATGAACTCCCTCTATCGACTCCAGCTCCTCATACGGGGACATGAGAGAAGCCTCCCACAAGAATGATAAAAACATCAAATCATCCAGGCGTCCCCTGGGCAACGCCCTTGCAGACGGCCAATTCTTTCACACCAGAAGCGACTTGCTTGTTTCTCAAGTTTCTCAAGTCGCTCCTGACACGACAAAAAAATTTAAATAAATAAGTAATAGATACTGAGGACTACTCTGAACTATGCAGCCCATTTCTGAGCATACCTACTCAAACCAGTGATTTCAATGAACCACGTTCCTGATTAAATATACCGCATCCACACAGAGCCCATTATCTCAAAGTTGCCTCTCTCTGCTCAGTGACACTGTTCTGACATTGTTTTGGTCCTATAGTACATGTCGTTCAGACAAGTCAAGAATAGCTCAGCAATTGAAAGTTCTGGGTGAAAAGCAACTCCTAAGAAGAGATTGTATCTTAGAAAAAGAGGGTCATTTTGGGGATTTTTGGTTCCTGTTTCTCTTCTTTCATTTCCTCAGAAGGTTCACTGCTGGTTCAAGAAAAGATTTTGCTTCAGGTTGCCATATAACAAATGTCTTGGACTTGTTTTCTACTTATCTTTCATCTCACTTGCCTTTAATCTCAACTGTATGTTCACAATTGCATTCATGTCAGTCCTCAGAGCACAAACTCTATGACATCCTCTTTTGATATTTTTTTCCATCTCAGACTAAGATTGAGAATGAACTCTAACCCTCTAGAAAAAATACTATCTATTGAAATGTCTTGTTTTGACTTGAAGCAAACAAACAAAGGGAAGATAAAACCCAAGTTCACAGTGGGCTTTCCTGCAGCCTATTTTCCTATTAAATGCAATCCTAACATGACAACAGAAGGGACAGAAAGAGCCTGGCTTTACGCATCCTGAGAATTAACAGCATAGTCCTCTCCATGTCTACTCGAAAGCAAACCTAGCTGACTTTAAACTGCACTGGAGTATTTATAGCACTGACTCTTAACCTGTGGGCCGCAGACCACCAGTGGGCCGCAAGGATGAAAATCTGGTCCGTGAACCTCCTTCCTCTTTATTTTATTTTATTTGCACTCCTTTCACGCTGCTTGCCATTCCTTCCCTGACACTGACCAGAGGCGGCCCTAGGTAATTTTCAACGGTAAGCAAACAGTATTTTGCCCCCCCCCCCCAACCAATCACTGATATATATATTCTGTTCGTCGTGGGAGTTCTGTGTGCCATATTTGGTTCAATTCCATCATTGGTAGAGTTCAGAATGCTCTTTGACTGTAGGTGAACTATACATCCCAGTCACTACAACTCGCATATGTCAAGGTTTATTTTTCCCCAAGAGCGCCTCAAGAGTGCCCCTGGGCAAAATCAACTATACTGCAAATGCTTACTTTGCGTAATGGGTTGAGCTGCCCCTGACGCTGACCATGGCATATGTTCTGTTTCAGAAACTAGAACTGATGTGGTCTATCCAGTGCAATTTTCTGAATTGGCATCCCAAACTGAATCTGAAGTTGACCAAAAACTGATTCATAACCCTTTGAGTACTAATGTTGGGGAGTGGTCCCTGGTTAAGTGGTCCCTGGTCAAAGTTGTCCCTGGTCAAGTGGTCCTTGATCAAGTGGTCCCTGGTCAAAGTTGTCCCTGATCAAAAAAAGATTGGGAACCACTGATTCATAAGATTAGAACCAAATAATCTTATCCCCCCTTTCTGTCTTCATCCAGCTATATTTCCCATAATCGTTGATTGTTGCACAGAAGTAGCCCATCATGTTCCTGGAAAGTGGCTAAGAAGAAATGTGCTGAGGTTTGATGTTCAGAAAGGAGGAGATTTGTGCAAAATACCTGCTGTGATGTAAGTGGTGCAAGATCAAACTGGCAAGAGGAGTGTTTTCATAGATAAATTGTGGAAGTTTAGAATAGTTAGAGCGATTTGTTCTGCAGTTGTTGATAAGACCAATGATATACCAGATTTATTTCATTTAGAATTTGGGAAGAGGGTTACTGCCAGCAATAACTAGACATTTAGGCTGTAGTTCTATATACAAGTGTATTTGTGTGTGTGTGTACATATTTCTATGACTGCACAATTAGGCTGTGACCCACCAACATATTTACCAGCCACAGTATGGCAATTGGTTAGGGTTATAAAACAATTAGTTCATTGCAAAGCCTACTTTATAGCAAATCAAATTTAAATGTGTTTGCATGTTATTAGTATTTCAATGTAAACATCCTTTTGAGAAAAGTTAAGTATTCTAAATCCAAACAAAGTCTTATTGCAGGACACTGGGAATTTTTCAGGCAAATATGCATTTCAGGCAAAGTCGCCTGTTTGGGCTGAAAAATGCGGTATAGAAATAAAGCAAATAAATAATAAATAAATATGCACATGGCTGTATTTTGAAATGACGTACGATTTGTATATACTTTAAAGAAACAACAACAACAACAACAACAACACTTTATTTATATTCCACCCTTCTCCCTGTGGGTACTCAGAACAGATTACAGTATAAATAGATATTGGCAAACAATCTATGCCTTGTTACAATAAAATGAGACATACAAACACAAACAAAGGCAAAGGCTTCTCCTCTCATTTCTGGCTTTAGAAACGGTGCTCATCTCTGGCTCTGGGGGAATTTTTTTAAATGGTTTTCAAGTTGCCCTTATTATAAGAGATGTCCACAATTTGAGAATTTGAACGTGTTTATGTTAACGGCGCTCCATGCAGTCATGCCGGCCACATGACCTTGGAGGTGTCTACGGACAACGCTGGCTCTTTGGCTTAGAAATGGAGATGAGCACCACACCCCAGAGTCAGACATGACTGGACTTAATGTCAGGGGACTACCTTTACCTTTACCTATGTTAATATAGACTGAACAAGATGGCGCAGGCAACCAGTCCAGCACTTCTTCCCTTTTACAATTCCATAGATGAGGCAAGCCAAAAGTACAGCTTTTTAACATTAATTTTTATTCAAGAAAATAAACCAATGGACATACAAAGAAGCAGAAACATTTACAAAGAAACAAATTACACAAAGTGAAAAACAAAAAGTTTTTTCTTAGTGTAAAAAACTATAAACTACAATAACTAACAGAACAATAATCCTATCCACTACAACAAGACACAACACCCCCCCCACAATAAACACATACTGCAATGATAAAAACTAATCTGTAAGCCTCACTCTCTGCTTGTGTTTCCCTTAATTTTCTGTTCACTTAAAATATCACTGTATAACCAGCCTTCTACTTTTAATAGCACTCTTCTAATTCAGAAAACCAATTGTAGAAGTTTGATGTAAAAAAGTAATAAATAAGTCCGTCTTTCTTAAAATTTCTCTTTGATCAGCATCTTCAGTTTGTCCATATCAGCTACCGTATATACTTGAGTATCAGCCAGTCCAAATATAAGCCAAGACACCTAATTTTACCACAAAAAAAATTGGGAAAACATATTGACTTGAGTATAAGCCGAGGGTGGGAAATGCAGCAGCTACTGGTAAATATCAAAATAAAAACAGATACCAACAAAATTACATAAATTGAGGCATCAGTAGGTTAAATGTTTTTGAATATTTACATAAAACTGTAATTTAAGATAAGACTGTCCAACTCTGATTAAATCAGTATTCTAACCTTCAATGTCAATGCGCTTACGTATCCTTCCAATAATAGTAAAGAGAGTAAAATAAGGTGAAGGTAAAGGTTTTCCATTGACATTTAGTGGTGTCTGACTCTGGAGGGTGGTGCTCATCTCCATTTCTAAGCTGAAGAGCTGGCATTGTCCGTAGACGCCTCCAAGGTCATGTGGCCAGCATGACTGCATGGAGTGCTGTTACCTTCCTGCCGGAGTGGTACCTATTGATCTACTCACATTTGCATGTTTTCGAACTGCGAGGTTGGCAGAAGCTGGGCCTAACAACAGGAGCTCACCCCGCTCCCTCAATTTGAACTGCCAACCTTTCAGTCAACAAGTTTAGCAGCTCAGTGGTTTAACCCAATGCGCCACCAGGGGGCCTATAATAATAATAATAATAATAATGTAAAATAATGAAAATGTAATAATAACAGAAATAGAGTAAAATAATAAATGTAACAAAAATAATACTAATAACAGAGTAAAATAATAAATAACCTTGTATAAACCGAGGGGAGCTTTTTCAGCCTAAAAAAGGGACTGAAAAACTAGGCTTATACTCGAGTATATACAATAATTCACATATTTTTAGGAGCCAGCCTTCTTGACTTGGGGTAGCTAGCTATGTCTTTCCCTCTCTGGGTGTAGATGATTCTTGCTGCCATGATCAAATATAGGAATAAGCTTCCGTCTTTTATTTCTAGTTGATCTTCCAGTATCCCCAACAAGTAGAATTCTGGTTCCATCATAATTTTGACCTTAACAATTTCTTTTTGCATCACATGCATTTGACTCCAGTATTTCTGGGTGTAAAATAAAATCTTGTCAGAAAGTACTCAGTAACACTCCTTCATCCATCGTTTCCCTCATCACAGATTGGCTGAGTTCATGTAGGTATGGCATAAGATAATACTGTCATATGTGGAACTATGTCATGTCTGCTACAGGCCATTGATTCCTTGACTGTTGGAGAGTGGGGATTGGAAAACATCTGCTATTCAGTGGTTCTCAACTTGGGGTCCCCAGATGTTTTTGGCCTTCAACTCCCAGAAATCCTAACAGCTGGTAAACTAGCTGGGATTTCTGGGAGTAGTAGACCAAAAACATCTGGGGACCCCAGATTGAGAACCACTGTGCTATGTCCTCATAGCTAGATATGCAGTGATGACATCATATACCAGGTCCTCTGAAGTCTTAATGGATGGTGTGATAATTCTGCATCTAGTTACAGGGACAAAGCCAGATGCTTCTCTGATACCTGCACCACTTTCCTCCAGCCATGAATTTGAGGGACTGCAGCATCTGAATAACAATCCTGGGGATTGGTTATTAGGGAAGGACACCTGACTATGGCACTAGCACAGTTGTGTCCAACCTTTGGTCCTCCGCGTGTTTGGGATTCTAAATCCCAAAAGCCCTGGCCAGCTTGTCCAGTGGTCAAGAATTCTGGGAGCTAAGTCCAGAACACCTGGAGGAGAAAAAATTGGACACAACTGCAGCAGCAGGACCCTAGCCAACATCCCCTAAGGAGGTAAAGATAGAAAAGCTTCATAATTAGTATTGCTTGAGAACTCTTGTTAGGAAGTACAGTAGGAGGCAGCATTGCATCCACAACATTGCCTTTACCTGTCCCGTTGCTGCTCACTTAGGCTAATGGTTACCCTCTGATTGTTTTTTCCAACTTTTCCTGGCCCTTGCTTTGAAACTACTTGGCAAACACCATTTTTTCAGCCTCATGTTTGCATAGTTCTACTACCTGTCTGTCAACACAGAGATACTGCCAGAGCTTGGATCGGTTCCTATCTTCAACTACAGGTCCCAAAAGCTAGGAAGGACTGGTAGTCATGCTGGCTGACAGGTTCTGTGAGTTATAGTTCAAAGAGGCTAGTATTCAAAGAACTCCATTCTCTAGTTGTTTGGAAACCTGTGGCTGAAAAAGCACATTCCTAACCCATGTTGATATCGATGGGAATCAAAAGTGCTGAAAAGAAAAGTGCCTGGATCATTTTCTGTTTTGCTAATGCAGTGATTGCTTCAAAGTGTACAATTTTTAAGAATACATTTTTTGGAAATAACATTTGTTTTCTTATCCCAACAGTCTTTACACCAAGCGCAAAAAGCTATGTGCAAGTCCACATAATAAAAATGTGAAGAGGTGGATGAGGCAAATGTCCAAGACTCACCAAAAGATTGGCAATCATGGCAGGAAGAGAAAAAAAAACTAAAAGGAGGCGGAAAACCACAATGAAATTGTAATGGGCTGGCTGCTGAAGGAACTATGGAGATACCACAATCTATACAATGAAATAAACTCAACAAAGGTCTGATCATGACTTGTGACTGTGTACAACCCTCAATCATGGGCCCTTCTACATTTATAGTACAATGATTCCACTTTAGCTGTCATGGTTTCAACCTATGGGTTTCGGGAGTAGGTAGTTTGGTGGGACACTAGAGCGGTCTGAGAATTGCAGTTACCCCCCCCCCCCAAAAAAACCCCTACAAAATCCCAGGATTCCATTGGATGATGTCATGAGAATTAGTGGAATTATAGTGCTCTAATTATGTAGCAGGAAAGGGCCTCTTTGTGTTAGCTAGTTTCCCTGATATTTTCTGAACTGCCCCCAATGTACCACCACTCAACCCTTAATCTCACTCTTCATTTGTGTGAAACCAAACTTTGAGGTTAAAGTGCCCAAAATTCTGTGCCAATGGGCATCTTGTCTTAGGGATTCTGGACAATGTAGTCCAAAACACTTCCAAGCTCTGTATAGGAACTTGTCCTGTACATTAGGTTACCAGATTCAGTACTGGAGTTGTCTCCTTACCTTTAATGGTTGTGTAGAAGAGGGAATTTCAACAGCTATTGTCACCTTAACAAGCAACACCCACTGAAATTCTCTCTTCTACACATGCATTAAGGCAGTGATTCTCAAGCTTTCTAATGTCACAACCCCTTAATACAGTTCCTCATGTTGTGGTGACCCCCAAACATAAAATTATTTTCATTGCTACTTCACAACTGTAATTTTGCTACTGTTAGGAATCATATTGTAAATATCTGATATGGAGGATGTATTTTCAATCACTAGACCAAATTTGGCACAAATACCCGATACAACAATATTTGAATACTGGTGGGGTTGGGGGGTGGGGTGGGGGCTGATTTTGTCATTTGGAAATTGTACTTGCTGGGATGTATAGTTAAGCTACAATCAAAGAGTATTCTGAACTCCACCAACGATGGAATTGAACCAAACTTGGCACAGTGAATTTCCATGACCAACAGAAATACTGGAAGGGTTTGCTGGGCATTGATCTTGAGTTTTGAAGTTGTAGTTCACCTGCATTCAGAGAGCACTGTGGAGTCAAACAATGATGGATTGGACCAAACTCGGCATGAATACTCAATATGCCCAAATGTAAACACTGGTAGAATATGGGGAAGATAGGCCTTGACATTTGGGAGTTGTTGCTAGGATTTATAGTTCACCTATAAGAGCATTCTGAACCAACGATAGAATTGGGCCAAACTTCCCACACAGAACCCCATGACCAACAAAAGGATAAGCTTTCTATCTCTCAAATAATGTTCAGCTGGCAATCTTATTCCTGCCTGATTGCCTTTGCCTGCTTAATGCCACCATCAAGCATCTCTCTCCTTACTTCTTTCTGGTTTTGTTCTGGTTTTATTTTAACCTGTTTCTTAATACAACCTTTCCATCTGTCACTCACCTCTTCCTCTCAGCTGGAATGATGCTGTTGTTGCCTCTGCCTCCTTCCATTAAGCAATATGTTTTCTTACCTTGCTTCATTACTTAATCTGGGTTTTCCTTACAGTTACCTCATGCCTCAATCTATTTTGCTTTCATCATCTCCATTTATCTTACCTCATTTGTACACATGAAAGACTTTTTTTATTTGCTCTGCACTTTAAAGCCAAGTGACCTAATCTACTGATGAACCTTCAAATTGCATGATAGTTACTGAAATCTCTATCTTTTAAAAATTCACAATTCTTAATTCAGAGAACATCTTCAAACATGAAAAGAGTTTAGAAATCGATATCCTGTGTGCAAACATATTCAAATGTATGCATTTGCAATCACATTTAGATGCAAGTATCTGTCATGTGAAGCTGATATGAATCAGAGGTAATTGTTTCCATCCCTAATCTCAATATCTCAATAATTCCTAATCTCAATATCTCCATTATGTTATAGCCAAGAGATCCTTTATTGCTGTATTTTGGCAACCTTAAACTTCCAGGTGTGTGTTGTGTGTGTACCTTAAGTGTTCATCCACTTAAAAAAAAACTCCGATGGTGTTTTTTGCAGCCATCTCAGCCTCTTCATATTCCTATGGTTCTGATTTTTTTTTTCCAAAAAAAGAGGAAATTGGCCTTTTCTGGAAGCTTTTGGGGGCTCTATCACACTAGACTGTGCTTACTTAGGCGATCCTTCATTGTCTGAGTATGATGGCCTTCCAAGGGTTTTATTTTTCTTGGAAGACACTTGTTTGTGAGTTTGTGTGTGGGAGTCGGTGCACAGCCAATCAACACACACTCTTCACAGAGTGAGGATCCCAATCAGTAACGATGGTGGCTTCCGCCCACAGGTTCATTGGAACATGCCAGCCCCCTCACCACGACAATCCATCGATGGAGTGCAGAGGGATTATTCTACTTTAATTGCCATTGCAACACTGGATCAAATTCTGGGATTTGCTGTTTAGGGAGAAGCCTATTAAAATTTCACTCAGACATCTCTTGGACTTCGCTAAAATTCCAGAATTCCATAGATTGTTGCCATGGCAGTTAAAGTGGAATAATAGTGCTATTACACTGTAGTGTGGCAGAGCCCAAGGCCTGGCAATTAATCTTCTCATTAGATTACACCAGGAGACAGATCCCCTCTCAACTGTTTTGTTGTTGTTTATTAGGTCAGTCACTTCCGAGTCCTCGTGACCTCATGGACTAGCCCACAATAGAGCTCCCTGTCGGCCATCACCTCCTCCAGCTCCTTCAAGGTCAAGTTAGTCACTTTAAGGATAACATCCATCTATCTTGTCCTTGGTTGGCTCCTCTTCCTTTTTCCTCCCATTTCCCCCAGCATCATTGTCTTCTCCAAGCATGTTTTATCATTGTTGTCAATTGATACATCTACACTGTAGAATTAATACAATTTGAGACCACTTTAACTACTATGATTCAGTGCTATGGAATCATGGGAGTGGTAGTATACAAGATTTTGGCCTATTCTGCCAAAGGGTGTTGGTGCCTCACCAAACTACAACTCCTATGATTCCATAGTATTTATTTTATTTATAGTTTCAGAAGCAAATTGAGGGTACAATTATAATGTATTTAAAAACACAAACTAAGTTAAACTTGGCATTATACTCAATGTCCTTTGACCAGAAGCTGGACACTTGGAGTGCCTCTGATGTCGCTGTGAGAAGGTCCATTGTACATATGGCAAGGCTCAGGCTGCATTTCAGTAAGTGGTCTGTGGTTTGCTCCTCTCTGCAATCGCATGTCAGGGACTCCACTTTGTAGCCAATTAATAGCTTCCTAAGATCTACAGAGATACTTGCAGGACACCTCAGCAAGTGAGAGTCCAAAAGTGGCAGGCAAAAACCTGGAAACTCAGTGGCACAGTGGGTTAAACCCCTGTACTGGCAGGACTGAAGACCGACAGGTTGCAGGTTCGAATCCGGAGAGAGTGCGGATGAGCTCCCTCTGTCAGCTCCAGCTCCCCATGCTGGACATGAGAGATGCGGGGACATGAGAAAAGCTTCCCAGAAGTATGGTAACACATCAAAAAACATCCGGCTGTCCCCTGGGCAATGTCCTTGCAGACAGCCAATTCTCTCACACCAGAAGCGACTTGCAGTTTCTCAAGTCTCTCCTGACATGACAAAAAAAAAGTTTCAGTGAATTAGTACTTTATCATTATAATTAGCAAAAAAGGGTTTTTTGAATTTAGAGAAGAAAATTGTCCTACAAGCCATAGCAAATGATGCACCAGAAATAATTATAGAGAACCCCAAAAGAATGGAACAAGTGGACCCATCAGTGACAAAGACTCGCAAAAACGAAGGAACCACATTATGAGAAATCACAGTTCTTATGATAGGTTTAAAAGAGCTTCTCTCTCAAGTGTGATAACTGGAATGCCTCACTGTCCAGACATAACGAGAGGTGGAGTAAGCTAGGGCCATTAATGGCTATGCCTTGCCACCATCCCAGGCTCACTCACTTTCTTGTGCCCCTTTCAGTGCCCTGCAGGCAGCTGTGTGCAACCCAGCCGTGTTGCCCGGTTTCCTCTTTGTAGCAGACACTCATCTGTTTTCCATCTCTTCTGATCTAGGACACATCTATGTAAATAAAGTTAGTCAGCTAGCTCTCAAGTCAAGCACCAAACAGTTCACTCCCTTCGTTTCTGGCACTTAACCTGAGAACATACACCTTTCCCTGGAGCCCCAAGGAGAAAACCTATACTTCTGGAACATGGTGTCATGGCATGAAGCTTTGAAAAGCAAACCGCACCCAGCACCACCTCCACTGTGGTTTCTCCACCTGTTTTCATTTAAAGGCAAGGAACAGTTCCCCTACAATGCACATAGAATCTAGCTCAGTCTTCCCTGAATGCCTTTGAGTGATGCTTTCTATTTACGCTGACCACGTTGCATGAGGACTATAGGAGTTGTAATCCAATACGTCCGAAGAGTACCAGTTACAATTTCACACTACACAGTTATAGTAAAATAGTTCCATTTTTTGTGTCATGGCAACATGTTGTGGAACTCTGATGTCCATAGTTTGCTGAGGTCCTTGAGTTCTCTGGTGGAGAATTCCAACTACTCTTCAGCAACCTGCAAACCCAGAGATTCCATACAATGTTGCCATAGCATATAGCACTATAATTGTATAGTGTAAAAAAAGTTATCCTATTCATATCAGATCTGATCATCGAGCTTCTTGACTAGGAATGCAAGGTCAGAAGTATCACAGACCCTGAGATTACAGGGTTAAACCTGAGATATTTGTGATGCTACTCATAGAAAGCTACAGTTCCCAAGATTATAGGCGGAGGAAGTGAGGAGAAGTGGACATTTACCCCCTAAATTTGCAGCGAAAATAATATCAGTCGTGTGAAAGCATATCAACATATGAAGGAGGGTCATCTGTGGGAATCTTTAAAGGGAAAGAGGGCACAAAAGTCATGGAGTGATGTAAGCAGGAGAGTTCCCACATCCTATCTGAGCTGTCATCCTCCCACAGTCGTCTTCTCCAAAATGTGATAAAATAAAGCAGCAGCAG